CATCCTTAATAATTCTATAATTCTACCTCTTTATGGAGGAGACATGGATAATGTGTTATCCATTTTAATGCTCACTCATTATCAAAAGGCACATACAATAAAGCCATGAAAAAACGCAGCAGATTAATCATTTTTCCCCCACTGAAGGTCCTACTTCTTTCCCCCGGTATCTAGGATTTCCTGAAGGTCTCAACCCACTACCTTCTCTATCTCACAGTGCTCTTTCAAAGGGATCAAAAGAAACCTGAGAAGTATGGGAAATAGAGTTGTTCATGTCTGGTGCTAAGATGTGAATGTGTTTTTTTTCTAATTAACAGAACTTAAAAGCAGTGTTTTGTAAAGTCATCTCTGCGGTTGGTGGTGAAAATGGGACTGTTAAGCCCCATTTGGATTGGATGGTGGGTCAGCAGCGATGTGTGAGTGCTATTCTGGATCTCATGTTTGTCTCTGCCTTAAAATAAATTAAATCTCTCTCTATTGCTGTTGGCAAGCAGCCAAGAACAGCTGAGCTGCAGTGTTCCCTGTGACAAGCTGTGTGTGCTGTATGTCTGGTTTTGCTCAATAACTCCTCAGCCATGGGCTCCAAGACTGAGTGGGGGTGGCTTCTCCAGCCCCCAGTAATGACTGTTTCTCATGGGATTACTTCATTGGAGGCTCTGGCTATGGGATGCAGCACAGCCTTGTTTGACCACCGTGTTTTTTCATGTGCACCTTATAGGGGCTCCTGTTTTCATAGTTTCTTCTGCCTTTTTCTATGTCAACTGTAAAGCAGAGAAATTAGAAGAAGAATCATGTCTTTCTGTAAGGAGTTTAAAAGATATCCTATAAAATACTGCTGCAGTTCTCCCAAAATCTGCCCCTTAGCCTTTGCACCAGAGTCCCATTTGGAGGTATCTGTAAGGCATTTACCATATTGCAAATAATTCCCCTCTAACATGCTGCATGTCCTTTGCCGGCTCATGAAAACCGTGTGCTCCAGCTAAATTTTGGTGGAGGGAAAGGATCAGGATCAAATGCATTTGGGTAATAAGTTGTATGTGCATTGAATATTCTTCTGATTATGGTTTTGGATAATTGGGGAAATTTTCAAAGTAATTAGAAGCCACTAAAGGGACATGATGCTGCTTCATGTATTAAGCTCTGATTAACTGAAGTGTGGAAAGTTCACACTGAAAAAAACAGTCAAAAACTTGGGGTACCACTTTCACACTAATTGAGCTATTGCAGCACTTGGAGATTTGTAGCCAAAGATCATCTATTTGTACGGAAACCTCAATGGCAGAGACTTTGCCATCGTCCTTGGGAAGTCTCCAGTGTGGCTGCAATTCTCCCCACTCCTCTGCATTTGGCTTTTGACTTGGTCCTGCTCCCAGCAGATTGATTTTTTCTCACTCTGTGGCCTGTAGGAGCCTTCTCTTGGGTCTGTGAATCACCCTGACTCCTTCAGCAAGATCAGTGCCTAGGTCCAGATCCACTCCTAAATAGCTGTTGGCATCATGAGACCACTAGGCTACAAACACAGCCAGTGGTGCCTGAATTGAGATAGTATTTAATTGCAGAATCATTACATGGCATCTGTAATTATCCAGATGTCTGTGTCTTTGTAATAGTGATAATAAAAAGGGTAAAGAAAGTTGGCCTTTGAATGCTCGTCAAGTAGGAAAGGTTTCTGCCTTGGGAAGTAGCTGTACTGGGGGCTTTTAGGGGACAAGTAGCTGCAGCATTTAGGCATATGGTGTAGTGATGGACTTGCAGTGTCAGGTGGATAGCAATATAAAGGGTCTATGCCTCACAGCTGGTGGGCTCTGCACTGTGCATCAGCATATAGGGATGGCATCAACAATCCTAAGGATTAGCTGTGAAACTGTTGTAATGGGGAGGGAGACAAGGGACACCTTCTCTCAGAAATATCTTGATTGCATCAGGGAAACTGAAATGATGTGAGACAATTTGGATTTTGTTGCCAGGGCATCCCCTGTGCTGCAGTCCCTTGTGAGCTATGGTCATCCCCTGCACTAAAAGTCCTAAATCGTGTCTTGGAGTGACTACCATAAGTGTTCTAGGCAGAACATCAGCAAAGCATAAGTGCAGTGCTCATTTCACATCTGTCCTGAATTAATCATTTCCTAAATACTAAAGGTACCGTACCATTGTGATTTTCCCTTTTTAATCTGCTGAGGGAGGCGATATGAGTGATCATGTGTGATGATCTGGGAGCAGAATATAATACTGCCAGGTGCAGAACACAGAGAGGGCATTCCTCTAAAGTGTGCTGCTGGACACCTGCACCAAGCCATTGCTTTTAGCCTCAGGAAGGCACCTGGTGGAGGCCCCAGAGAAAAGTCCCACAAGAAGGAAAGCCCAGGTGGCAGCACCCCATGGATTTGCACGCTGCAACAGCCCTGCTCCGGGCCCTCACAAGGTGGTTTCTGTCCAGCTTTACATCAGAGCTGTTTCACCGCTTTTATCAACATAGCTTGCTAGCCGGTGGGTGGGTATGGGGTTTGTGTTGTAAGGAAAAGCAGGAAAGCTCGAGGGTATTTTTTTTTCCTTACAAAGCCTTTGAAAGGTCACTGGGGACCCCTAATGTTCGCCTGCTGCAGAAGCACACGCTTCAGAGCTGAAGCTGCAGATGCTACTTCAGGCATCTGTGGGTTTGGTCACATTGGTCACTCGATGGTAAAAGTACCAAAGTACTCTGGGGTGCAAAAATCCTCATGCTCTGTTCCACACCAGGGTATTATCCATTCATGTGAGCAATCATATAAAGGAAAAAATAGGTTCATAAAGTGGGTGGTTTGGCAACAGAATGCTTTATAAAAGGCATTGGGAGAAATAATTCTAAGAGGTTTTAGGGATATCCTCTAGCCCCAAGATCAACTCAATCCCAGATCTCTGAGCCTCACTCCTTCCAAGAAGGCTGCTAGCCCCTTCCCCAGCTCCGCAGCATCTTTGATTTGGTGACAGGTACCAAACCCAGTCAAAACCTGCAGAATGTGATGCTTGCAACAGGAATGAGCTGCCCTTCTCTCCTTCCCACATCCAGCCCCAAACCCAAGTAAATCAGCAAAACTGCACTTTCTAAGTGGCTTCTAACGCACTGAAAGTCAATTAGAGCAATTAAAACAGAGCTGCTAACCACAGGTCTTCATCACTGACACCATGCTGAATGTCTGTTCTGTGCAGCTCCCAAGTAAATGTGCAGGGAGAGGAAAGGATTTTTTTTAAAGCAGCCAAATTGCCTCTAATTAGCAACACAACTGTAGTCAAAACATAGTGTGTGGATAATAAATTGATATTTGCATAATGGAAACACTACCAAAATGTACTTCAAATAAGCTGAATTATATTATAATTAGAGTTGTGTTTTGGGAAAGAAAATCCTCCTAATTACTGCTGTATAGACAGTGCCAAGGAGGAGAGGGCTGCAGCAGCCAAGGTATGGGGCACAGCATGGGGCCTGCAGGAGTGGCTCCAAAGGCAGGATAGTTGGCCTTTTCCTTCCCTTTCCTTCCTTTCCCTTCCCTTCCTTTTTCTTTTTTTCCTATGTCAGGTAGAACTTCATGGAGAGGGTGGTCAGGCATTGGAACAGGCTGCCCAGAGAAGTGTTGGAGTTTCCATCCCTGGAGGTATTTAAGAGATGCATACACATGGCATTAAGGGTCATGGTGTAGTGGTGAGGACTTGGTATTGTTAAGTGATAGACCTAATGATCTTAAGGGTTCTTCCAACTTAAATGATTCTATGATTCTTTCACTTCCCTCTTATTCTCCCTTTCTTCCTCTCCTGTTCCCCTCTCTTCTCTCCTCCATTCCCTCTCCTTTTTTGTTTCTCCTTCTTTTCTTTATTAGTATTTTTCAAAACTTTTGTTTGTTTTCTGTCTTTTTTTTTTTTTTTTCTGGGCTTTTCCACCTGAACTGTGCAGAGAGTGCTGAAGCCAGGAGGCATTACCTCCTCCCCCTTGACTTTCCTCACTAGCTCAGCTGTAGTGGGGCTGGCAGAACATTCCCAAAGCAACTGCTGATGTTCATGGCTGATTTCCTACAGCCAAAAACTACAGATGAGTTGGTACTCATCTGGGAGATGAAAAGGGAAAGAACCAGTTTCAGCAAACAAGGACAAGATCAGGACCCTGTGGTTAGTTGGCTTTGGCAGCAAAACAAATCTGTGCTTTGGGTGGTTATGCTGAAAGAAAATCAGGGGAAAATCAAACTGGAAAGCAGTTTGAGTGGGAGAAACTTGTGCCTGTGGGGAGGTGGTGTAAGGTTCATAATGTGAATGCTGTTTCTGTGCTTCATGGGAAGCCTGTGGATGTGGTGATGAACTGGTGAAACACTGAGTTGCGATAGCTTGCTTCCACTTTAGTCAATCTGCAGCTTCTGTTGATATCAAGCTTGCTCTTATTTCCCAGCTCTTACCAAAATACTGGAAGGCACTGGATGACAAGTCAACGGCTGGTTGTAGGAGGCCATGGGAACCAGCAAGGCAGTGACTGCAGACCGACCTGGGCATCCCCAGCAGCAGCACCATTGCCAGCAAAATGTTGTATGGCTCTGCAGTGTGAATGCAGTTTCTGTCAAATGCAGGCCTTCCCATGGTAATTTTAAACTGAGGCCACCTCAAGGATTAAGGCAGCTTCCATTAATTATATTATATTAATTATATTTCCCAAAAACTGACATGGTAATGGTGAAGTTTTTAAGGAATGGCAGCTGTTACATGAAGATTTTATTTATCTTAACCATAATACTTTCTATTAAACCACTGTTATTTATATTACAGGTGACATCACTCACACACGTCATGCTGATTAATGACAACAAAGCTTTAATCACAATCATCTGTTGCAAAAAATAAGCAGAGCATGAAATAGATACAGCACAACCACAGCATCAAACCCAGGTCAGTATCTGGATCTAACTTAATAGCAGGAGACTAATTGGTATGAGGTGTGATCTCCAACTCGTAATTAGATTTCTATAAAGGTGCAGAAGAAGACAAGGCTGGTGCAGTTATTCAGGGCAGCTTTCTGCTCTTGAGAATGTTCTCCAGAAGTTCCTGAGCTTCTCGGAGCCCATGGGCTGCAGCCACACCAAGGAGTTTTTCCACTTCCCTGAAGGACATGAAATCTTCATCAAGAAAAACTAGGAGTTTTGGGTTGTTCCTATCTGACTTTTACTTACCCAGGCTTCTAATAAAGGAAAACTACTACTGGATCTGAAAGATTCTATGGTGTTCAGTGGTCTAATATTCAGAGAATTATCTGGTTTTTATTTTGCTTTTCACTGTTATCTGAGCATGTATGTCTCATTATTGGTGATTTTCCTGACCTGACTGAACCGAAGCCATATGATCTGAAACTCTTGAAATATATACAATCAAATACGTGAGTCTATCTGATCAATATGCAACATGGGATCAAAATGAAACATGATGGCTTCAGCTCGCTTTTGCTTTTGTATTTTGGAGCTTGGAGTAAAAAAACTCAAAGCAAAACAATTTTAAGACTGAGTAGCACTGTAATGGAAACTCATTGGTCACTTTTGCTTCAACTAGGAGTGGCCCCTGGATTAGCCATCTCAGTGATTGTGCAGACAGCAGGTTCTGGCTTTCCCTCCATTTGGGCACACTGCAGGGCACAGGAATGCTGGAGAGAGTGTCCAAATCTCTTTGAAGCTAACAGGACACTGGTGGCCAACACAAGGGCATGCAGTCTGCTTTCTACAAGCAGAGCTGACAACAGAACAGTGGAACCTCAAAAATGCCTATGCAGCCTCATCCATGGGATGCCTACAGCACAGGACTTTCCCCCAGGAGGAACCAGATCCTCATCTGGAGCAGCAAGGGGTAGGAGCAGCTGCATTACCTTTCCTCCAGTGCTGCCGTCATGTTGCTGAGAGCTCCCAGTGCCAGGTTGAAGGAGGAGTATGGGTGGCCCTGTCCTGCTGCCTGCCTGAGAGAGGAGAGGAGGCAAGGAGCAGAAAATATAGAAGAAAAGCAACATCTGAACATTTCCTGAACGAGGCTGTACTGCCCCATACAGCATGCTGTCTCACTGTTGAGATATTTTTCTGCCACTGGTTAAAAAGTAGCAAGAGAAGTGGGGGAAGGTGTGATCCCAAGCCAGATGTACAGAGAGCTGGCCATCTCCATGCTGCCTGTACTTCCCAGGGGATGACCCAGTGCCCTCAGAAAGTATTGCCAGTTTTGTCCCTGTGCCTTAGCAATCTTTTCCAGCAGAAAGCAACGTGCCATCTCAGGAGTTATATTTCAGTGGCTCACCTGAACCAGTGCATGGCCAGCTTCTCATTTTTTTCCACTCCAGCACCTGAGATAAAGGCAAAGCAGTGAAGTCACAGTGATGACGTAAAACACAGTGGCCAAACCCAGCATGCAGAGCCACATTTGAGATTCACATGCATGGATATCCTCCAACAGCAAAGGTTACCTTGCAGATACCTCTGCCCCACAATGTGCTGGGCGTGGGGGTACCCAAGGCGTGCGTAGGCCTGTGCCACGTGGAAATGAAAGGCCTGGTAGCACAGCGGGATGCAGAGCAGCAGCAGGCAGGCTGCCAGCATAGCCAGCAGCTGCAAAACAGGAAACGTGAGGAGAGAAAGGAGCCAGGGACTGGCTACAGCAAATACTCATATGAGCTATAGAGCCTCCTGAGCCTGTTCCCCAAAAAGAAATATAGAAGGCCTCACGCAACCACAGAAAGTCAAAGCAACCTTTGATTCAGAGCCGCTTCCAGCATCCATTTAAACTGGCAGGAAACCCTGGTTGAGTCCCAAGTTAATATCACCTCATTTTCCAGCCGTCCTCTTGAAGAAAAATAATTATAAGCTGGGCTCAAGGTGCTGGCCTAACAGCGTTAGGGAAGAACTATTCAAAGTTTCAGTGAAAACGTGCCCCAAAGGAATCCACGAGGACAGTGTGTGAACCAACAGCCACTGCTTATACCTATCCCTGGAGTGCAGACAGATCTCAGCAGTCCAGCCCCCCTTACACGCCTTTCCCAAACAGAGGAAAAACACACTGCACAAGGCAGAGTGAGCCAAGGTATGAGCACATAACTGTCTCAGAGAGCAAAAGCAGTGAGAAGCCCCCAGCTTCCCATCCAAATTGCTTGCTGCAATCCCAAGCCCCACACTTACCTCCCAGGTGCTCCATGCCAAACCAGGGTGCTGCCTGCACTTTGGGGAGGGATGTTCTCCATGGGTGCTGGCACTGCCCCTTCCTACCCAATGACGCCGCACCAGGGGCCTGATGTCTACCATAGCTCCCTGTTGCCAGGGCCTGAGCACTGCCAGCTCTCTGTCCTCCCTCACAGTTCTGTCACAGGTCCCCTCACCCAGCTTCACTCCTGATTTGTGGCCCAGCTGCTCGGCTGAGATAAGAGGGATGGACATACTGACCTTGCAGCATCAAAGCAGAGACTGTTCTCCCACTGACACCTATTGAAACCACCAATATTTAACTCTGCAACAAACAGGATGGCTAATCACTGTATTTGATAAAAGTTGATGAGGAAAAGAAAAATAATGGGTTTTTTTTCTGCTTTTCCGATGAAAAGGAGAGCATTTCATGAACATTAATGATGTTGTTCAGCACTGCAAATGTTGGACACCTTGTTATATCAGTTGCATGATCTCCTCTGGTTGTGTCAGGTGAACATGAGAAGATGCAGCCTCAGATAAGGAAATTAGTCAAGACGCAATGACATGTAACCAGGGAATTATCATAACATACAACTTCCACCATCACCACCACAAAGTTTGACAGGATGGGATTACTCATGCTGCTTTTTGTTAAGCTGGAAAGTTTGCATGTTAAATACAGTCATTTTATAGCTGTATGATTTTACCTTTATTCATCTGCAGTGCCTTCATATGACTGTCATGACCAGCTGGGTAGAAGAGAGGAGAGCAGTGAATGTTGTTATGCTAACAGAGCTCAGAGAGCTGTGATCAGCAGCACAGCGTCTAGTTGGAGGCCTGTAGCTAGTGGTATTTCCCAGGGGTTGGTACTAGGCCCAGTTTTGTTCAACATCTTCATCAGTGACTTAGATGGAGGGATAGAATGTACCCTCAGCAGGTTTCCTGATGGATGATACAAAGCTAGGAGGAATGACTGACACACCAAAAGCCTATGCTGCAATTCCACAAGATCTGGACAGGCTGGAGAGTTGGGTGAAGAGGAACCCAATGAAGTTCAGCAAGGGCAAGTGTCCTACACCTGGGGAGGAACAACTGCTTGCATCAGTACAGGTTAGGGGCTGACGTGCTGGGAAAGAGAAGGACACAGTTGTCCTGGTAGCCAGCAGGCTGACAGTGAGCCAGCAGTGTGCACTTAAGAAAACCGATGCTATCCTGGGAGTCATTAAAAGGAGTTTGGCCAGCAGCAGGACGAAGGAGGTTATTCTCCCTCTGTACTCTGCTCTGGTGATGCCACATCTGGGCTCCTCAGTTCAAGAAAGACAGGGATCTCCTAGAAAGAATCCATTGACAGTCTGCAAAGATGATGAGGAGCCCAGAGCACCTCCTTTATGAGGAAAGGCTGAGAGGCCAGGGAGCGTTCAGCCTGGAAAAGACTGAGGGGATCTTATCACTGCTTGTAACTATCTAATGGGTGGGAGTCAAGTGGATGGGGTCAGGCTCTTTCCAGTAGTGCTCAACAAAAGAGAAAGGGGCAGTGGCAAAAAACTGGAATATAGAAAGTTCTGTATGAGCACAGAATCACAGAATCACAGAATGGCCTGGGTTGAAAAGGACCACAATGATCATCTAGTTTCAACCACCCTGCTATGTGCAGGGTCACCAACCACCAGACCAGGCTCCCAGAGCCTCATCCAGCCTGGCCTTGAATGCTTCCAGAGATGGAGCATCCACAATCTTCTTGGGCTAACTGTTCCAGTGTGTCAGCACTGAGTGAAAAATTTTCTTCTAATATGAGAATGTAAAGTCTCCTCTGGAGATATTCAAAACCTGACTGGACGCTTTCCTATGTAACCTACTCAAAGGAACATGCTTGAGCAGAGGGGTTGGACTAGATGATCTGCAGGGATTCCTTCCAAAACCAATGAATCTGTGATTCTGTGACCTTCTGACAACAAACTGTGTTTTGCCTTCACAGCTAAAAAATTCCTGTTTTTATCACTAAGCACTACCTTACTTCTCACTCTAAAGCTCTAGTCAAGGATCGTCATCAGGCAGCAGGCAGATGAGACCCATCTCCTGCAAGAGGCTGACCTTGCCTGGTTGCCTAACAGTAAAAAACAAAAAGTTTTGTTTTTTTTTTTCTCTCCAAATTTACAGCAAGATGAGTCAGCTTAAAATTCTTACTGAAGAGGAAGCCATTCACCCCTCTGCATTTGAGGTAACATTCTTATTTCTTGTGTTGTGCTGCCATCGTGGGGCCAATCTCAATTGCTCAGGTGCAGTCACATTACAGAGATCCATCTGTATGCCCCTCATCCTCTTGATCGAAGTGCAAGGCATTTTTTTCACAGAATATAGATTGAATAGGATGTTAATACATGTACTGCATGGCCAAATGCTTCTAAAACAAGCCATGAGAAGAACTTAGGCTGCAATGCCCTTATGTTCTCTTATGCATTTTGAGGTTTTAGCTACAATTCTTAGAATTTTATAAGAAAGGGAGAAAACAAACAAACAAAAAAATCTCAGGGAGTGCTTCTGCTTGAGAATGAACTGATCTCTAGCTGCAGAGCCAAAATCTGGCAAAAGCAAACCCCTGAGTCACTATTATGCTTGTAAAGGAGTGTCTGTAATGGATTTATCCTGACTCCTGACCCAGCTCCATCACAATGTGCTTTTATCTGTACAGAACAGGTCCTGGAGCCTGTAGTTCCTCAATGCAGGTGACTATAAATTGGAAAATGTTATTACTAATTAATTGTACATTATCTGTGAAAACCATGCTATTATATTGTAACCCAGGTGCACTACAGGTTCTCATTTCAGCAGTAAGCTTGAGCTGCTTATCTACAAAAATCAGCTTGCACCACAAGGAAAAAGTGAATCGGGATGTCAGTGAAAAATCAGTGATGGCTGTAGTATCTGCTTCTGACCAACACAGAGCGGTTAATCACTCCTCCCTGTTGTGACTTTGGCACAGAGAGAACAAGGGGCAGATGGCATCTCTTTTTCCCTTTCACATAATAATTTTTGAAGAGCCATTTCGAGCTCCAACAGATTAGCATTTTGATTGAAAACTAAAAGCCAGCCATGCTCAGGAAAACACTACTTCCCTTTCATTTATTTTTCACATGAAAAGTTTTTCTAGTCACGTTGTTCCTATTTTCCTCTTTACTGCATTGGCATGCTCAGGGCTGGAAGCACTTTGATGCTTCCCTTCAGTTGAAAGATGGATGTTGAATGCTGTAAGAAGAATGTGTGGCTGTAAAGAGTTAACAGGAAAACTACGTGGGTACCTAGACTGAAGAAAATAAGGAAGAAGGGAGAAGAGAGAAGGGAGAAGGAAAGAGGAGGGGAGGGAAGAATAACTGACTGCACTGAAACCTAGATGCAGAATACCATTCATCTTTTCCCATTTGGTTTTTGAAGTTTGCTGCTCATTTTCCAGGATGAACTGTAAACTTTTCAGTGATCTATCTGACTGAAGAAACACGTAATCATTGAAAGAATGATGGAGGAAGGTAATTATATCAAAATAGGCCACAATCATAGCATGTTGCCATGTTCAGACCAAACACCCAGACTTTACCACAGCACACAGAGCCTCTGCCTTGGAGTCTTGGTCGCCAATTTGCCTCAGGGAAGTTTTCCAGGCTTCTCTATTGGGAAAAGAAATTGCTATAGCCATGTTGATATAATTGGCACGGGACTAACTGAAGTGTCCTTTGGGCATCAGTAGCACAGGACAAATTGGATTCACCCTGAGAGTTCACCAACTAGAACACTTAGAGCTGCGCTCACATATGGCTTTACAGCAAAATACAGTATAAATATTACTTATCTCTGTTATCCTGCTGGATGGAGCTCAAATGCAGGAAGTGAGGAGGATCAGTCCTCCCACTGCAGGGAGGTGTGAGGCACACAGCAATGAGGCCTTCTGCATAGGGCAATAGGAGGAACGGGCAAGGACTTGTAGCTGGCACTGTCTCTGGCAGGCTCTAAATCTCTGGAGCTTCCTTTCACAGTTGACTAAGTATGAACAAGATAAAAATTTATTCAGACCAGTCATCACAGTACTATTAATAGCAGATACAAGAGTGTACAATGAGCACAAGCAGGAGCTCACATCTCTCCAGTAATCAGTATGCACATTTTGTCTGCAGATCTGTT